GCTGCACTGTCTATGTGCTGCTGTAGCACAGGTGGGCTACAACAGCTGAGTGCTGAGCTTTGAGATAGTAAGAGTCTATGTTTGTTTTAAAGCATGCAAGGCCTTGTAATCAATTTCCATGTAAGAGAATAAAAAACAATTGACAAAAGAAAATATGATCAGAATCTCAGTTGATTTCCAGCCAAAGAAAGCACTGACACAAGTCTCTACATTTATATAAAGGCTAACAGGCACAGCCTCTTGCTATCTGGAACAGCAGAGTGTTTGCAGGCTGCAGACAGGCTGGCTAGCCATTTGTCTTTGTCTGTAAATGGAAGGGGCAGCTGTCACCAAAGGTCAGCAAAATGTTACCAGAACAAGGCCCTATAGAGGCTAAGCCCACGTGCCTGCAACAAGGAGGGGGGACACACCCAAGTGGAATGAGACCTACACACTTTCTCCTTCTGCGCATTCACTCAAATGCAACACACCCACAACAAGGCATCCTGCTGGGATCATTGGGCAAGTCTCCGATGCAGCTGGTGGCCTTTTCAAGTTTACTCTGGGCTGTCCAACCCGAGCAGTGGTGCCTCTTACTGGCGTGGTTACATCGGGTTACAGTCTTCCCCTCCAGCTCTCCATCAGGGTCAGCTGAAAGATACGTTTGAAGTGGCATCCACCCCGCCCGACCCTCCATTACCCACTTACACCTGCGGCTGTAACACAACCTGGGTAAACTTACACCATCTTTGAGCTTTCGTGCAGGGAAGTTTCCTGCTCGGGGACACGGGTGAGTGGATGGATGGATGAGTCGCAGCTTGCACGACAGACCCAGAAAAGTGCTGACAGACAGATGGACGAGCATGCAAGAGATGGTAACACACACACATACACGCCAAGAATAGCTTTCAAAACTTTCCCGTCTCTGGAGATCAATCCTCAAGCCTGAATTTTCTTTGACAACTGTTATTCCCATCTAATCAACTATATCCTGGGGAAATCAAGCAAAAAATAAAAAAGGCTGAAAAGCAGCAGAGGGACAGCAGGGGAAAAACATAAGAGGTTTCCCCCCCCCTTCATCTTTGGCAAAACAAGACAGCATGGACCAATAGGAAAACATGTTTTATGTTCTATATTTTTGTTGGAAGCTGATGGTTTTTCTAAAATATAACCTTCTCTCTCACTATGTCCTGTTTTTCTCCAAAAAGAAAGCTTGCACTGCAGTTAAAGAAAAAAAAATGCTTTAAAACAAGGATAGTAAAATGACACAGTACCTTAAAACATGGTTTAAAATTTAATCCACAACTGGTGGGTTTTTTTTTATTACTAAGCAGTATGCCATACTGCCAATACACTGTGGCTTTGGAAGCAAGTTTACCATCTCATAGTACAACATGAAAGTCTGCATTAATTTTCTCTTGACACAAGCCTTTGTGTTAGAACACCTCCTTTTGTTTATAGTTATGACTTTGACATGAATAATAACACTGAATTAAACAGGTTGTGTATGTTTTTTGCTGCAGCTATAAAAAAAAATGTGGCTGGCCACCCAAAACATCCAAAACAACAGAACAAATATCTTTTGGACCTTCCATTTTGCATAACCAGCTGATAATTAAGTTCTCCAGAAGCACATTCATAACAGGAAACAGAGCCTCAGTTGAACTGCCCAAAGGAATATGCTGGGTTTTCCAGATGTGTTTTGGACATCATTCATTTCAGGACTGCTTTTGTGTCACTGACATGACAAGGGAGTGAAATTTGACTCTGGTCTGCTGCCAAAAATCCCCATCCTTAAAGGCATGTATGTGCCTGACAGCGAGAAACCAGAAGTCCAGTAGTTATTTTCAACTCATTGACTGCACTGTAAGCAAACGGCCTGCATTGTTGCTGCACTGTCTCAATGCCCGGAATAATAGTACTTCCAGTCTAGTGCTTTGTGGATGCAAATCAGGCGTGCCTTAAGGACACAAACGGTCTATTACAAAGCCACTGTGGGGAATAAAGACTGTCGGGGGGCTGCTTTAGTGGCTCATTTTGGAAAAGAAAAATGCTGCTTGTTTTTGTTGTGTGTTCAGAAAAAAATAAGGGGAAAAAGCTGTCCTCAATTGGCTTTGGTAACATGCTTTTTTAAAAAAAAAAAAAAAGAAAGAAAGAAAAGAAAAGAAAGAAAAAAAAGAAAAGAAAAAGGCATACGTCTGCCAGCCAGCCTCTGCCAATGACCTTTGAACCTTCCCAGTCAACGGTTCATCATCTTTGCACTATTAGCATCTGGCTGCAAGCTAATTGTAAGAGTAAAAATTCAAAGCCATGCGTGCGAAAAGGCTTGTTATGAAGCTAAATTAGTGTAAGCACAACATGTGTCTGAGCTTTAACTTTTCCCACAGACTTCAACTAAGACTCCACGAACAGTGCTAGTTTTTTTCCTTCATCCCCCCACCCACACACCAAGGTGTCCACTAGCTAAGGTGGATGCTAGCATAAAACTGGCTATAGCCACTGGTCAAACTGGCTGCATGTTTTATCCAATCTGCTGCCGGCGGCGTCACCCAACAAAGGGAATTAAAGCTGTGCCCATGAGCTGCAGTGGGGAGGCAGGCGACAATGGGCTGAAACCAGCAACAATAACACACCTCTCCCCCTCATTTTATCTGGTTTGAGGTAAACTATCGTATTTCATTAGGGGGAAAAAAAGAAGATAAAAACATTAGCGCGACAATACCATCGGCCATTGTAGCCTCCTCCCCGCTAAACAGGGTGGAGACTAGCCACACATCTTTCTGTTCAGCTGAAGGCAGAGGATGAAAATGAGGGTGGAAATACCTGTAGACGTCCACGACAGAGGCGCAGGGTTCAGCTTTGGCAACAAAACATCACACCAGTAACGGGCTCGTGTTCAGCTGGCACTCCCATTTAAAAAAAAAAAATGCGGCTCTTTTCCCAGTCGGCGCAAACGCCGCACACCCTTCCTCCCCAAGAAAAGCAGCGTTCAATGGCCGCATAAAGGGGGGGCACACAAACCTCCCCCCTCCCATTCAAACAAACGCCCTACCACAACAAACACTTTAACAAACAGCTAACGACGCATTCACAGGAGAATGTCTTCTTTCCCAATATCTAGCGGTTCATCTTTTAAAGAAGTGCGTCCGTTCCCTTTCCCCGAGGATACAGTCTAGGATGGGCTGGAAACATTAACTGACATTTAGGTTTTTTTATTCCCTACCATGGTTGACATTTTCTCTGTATAAGTTAATAAGTTAGAAGTGAAGGAAGGAGAGGGGGATATCATTTTTAAAATGCCAGAGTAGCGAGGTGGGGGGAAAAAAATCCACTTACAGTGAAACAGGATTCACAAAGAGGCTCCTCTCCTCTGGTCTGCGCTCCAATGGGAGTAAACGTCCACAGCGAGAGGGGAAACTCCTGATATGTGTATTTATCTATTTTTAAATAAAATATATTTAAATTCCGCCCATTATCCTCATCTTTTTTTCCACGCGTTGCCCTCGTCTACACGAACACACAGAGTCCACTACTCTATCCCCTTTTTCCATTCTTCTCAGCCGGAGACACGCTGCGCGTCTCCGTCGTTTCCTGTCCAGCCCAGGATCCAGCGTTGCCTTCAGGATCTACCGGGAATATTGTGGATTAGAGATGACGAGGAATGGCATAGCTAAAAGGCAGACGAAAGGAGAAACGATAAGCTCCTCTGTTTGGCCAATAAGCATGGTTTTATGCTTAATTCTTCAATATAAAGTTATCATTTGCCCCTAAATTAAAAATAAATAAATAAAAATGACAAGCTATACAGTTTTGCTTTTCCAGGGTCGGTCACTAAAGTATTATTATTTACAGATTGTAAAGGCAACATCAGCATTCAAGAGCTATTAAATAATAATAACAACAATGATACTAATAATAAATATAATAATAATAATATAATTACGCTTTTCAGTGCGTCTGAAGAGAAATTCAGGTGAAACATCTAAAAGTCTGAGGCGGCCACAATGCACCGATTTAATTGTACCCACCTAAAGCCGCCACGACCACCACCATCAGACATAGGGGGCATGTTCCAGATTAGGGGATTATTTTTATCCATTTGGATGTATTACATTCCCAATCCGTCCACCCTTCCAGCCTCTCAGTCATCTTTTGAGTTAAAATTCCTAATTCATGTGAATATTGTCAAACAAAATAAATAGTTACCATTGTGCCATTAACGCCTGTTAATGCCTAGAAGCTATGCTTATCTGCATATACAAAAAGAAAAGCAACTTAATAACTATTTCCCATAACCTGTTACGCTGGAAGAAGATTGGGGTCGGATTTAAATGTTATGTGGCCATCTAGTGGACAAGAGAATACATTGCACCTAAATTACAGCTTCTGTGGATGTGCGGCTTTTTAAAAAATTTAATCTCAGGTCTTGGTAATCCCTCTTAGGAAACAGTTACAATGTACTGACAAGAAACCTGTATGGCACAGCACATTCACACGTTTTTTTCCCTCCTTAAAACAGTAACTGTGTCACTGACTGTGCCATACACAGACTGTGACTCATACAGTGTACAGACTTCTCCTAAGTGCCTTTTTCTCTGCCAGTCAGCCTTTCCTGTAATCACATTTTGGCTCTCACACGAACCACTTCAGTACCTGCCAGTGCATTTTAATTTTAAAAAAAATCCTGTTCAGTAAATTTTCTCAGGTGAAACAAGGTCATCGCACCATTGAACGCTCCGCCTTCACAAGAGGAGCAGCACAAGTCTTATTAAAATCTGAATTGTAGTAGGATAATGTTAACACCCGTTCCATGTTATTGTTTAAAACACAAAACCTGAGTTTAGCTCGCTCTACCCGACCAATAAAACTAAAGTTAAGCACGCTGATGGCATAAAAGGTCACAAACTGGGAAACAGCAGAAACTTCAGTGGAGGAGGCGGTTTTTTTTCTTTTTTTTCGCCACAGGATGTTTTCTGTCAAGAGAGGGTGTGTTTGTGAGCCTCAGTCACTGCTGCACTGTGTGGGAGTGTTTTTAGTCAGAAGCAAAGAGGATAGAAGGCATTGCAGTCAAAAGAACACGTGCGTGATGTTATCGGAGTAACGGATCAGATTTTTTTTTGTGCAGGTTCGCTTGGAGGAGCTCGGAGGTTTTAGGTGATGAGGGGAAGCCTTGGGGGCATCATTCTACTGGAGGCAAATTCCCGCTCTTGCTGCAGAAAATGAGGATTTCATGGATGTTCATGTGCCTTCTGGTTTGCAAGTCGTCGCATGGTACTCAGGATCAAAGTGACTCCAAGTGTGATTGGAGCGGTAAGCGGACTTTATTATGATTACACCATGAGCATTATTATTATTAATTATTGCAGGTTGATCTGTGCATACGTAGGGACAACAAAACTGCTTGTTTTCATTTGTAAACACTGAGGTTCAAACTCTAATGAGTACTGCAGTAGTACTTGAGTATTTAAATCCTTTAGATCTACATCAGTTGTGTAAGTACATATCCTGGCTTGAGATTTCAGCCGTTCTCGAGTTTGTTTTGTTTTGTGGTTAAGACACATAAAACACATAGGGGTTAAATTTAAAAACAACACACACATTTATCCGTGTGGCGCCCGAGATCGTCCTTAAATTGACAAATGCCGTAGTTCAGAAAGCGTGTGTTTCAACATATATCCATGCAACAGATGGATACGTCACCAAAACTGCATGTGGTTCATGTGTTACAGTGCTAAATGTGCGTCTGACTCAAGTCTGCCATTTGTATCACACATCTTGTTTTTCATGTGAAATGTGAGTTTGGCCGAAAGAGGTAAATGTGCTGATATCAAACAAATTCCATGCGGGGGAGGAGCTGCTCTGAAATGACTGGTTTCAAAGCCTGAATTTCAGTAAGGGGAATTAAATGCAAATGTCTGAATCTTTGCAGGAGCTCTGGCTCTATGAAGCCTCTGCCAAGCGTTTGGTGCTGGTTACTGGCGGTACTTTTCCAAGCCTTAGATGAAGTTAACTTTTGGAAAAAAAAAGCAAACAAATGATTTTTTTTTAAAGTATAACATGCCACGTGTAACAGGCATTTATGATCACACAAATTCTCACAATTGTCTCTCCAGGATTGACGCTTCATAACTCTCCAAATGACAACGTGACTGTAACGTGCCCGTTGATACTGCCCGAGGATGAAGAAATTTCGTTTTACCTAATGAAAAATAAAACCATGATTTATAACCATACGTGCAAACAGAATTGCACTGGGATGAAGTGGGACGCTGTGGAACTGCACAAAAATGGATCACATTGGTTTTTCACAGTCAAATTAGGACGCAGTATCAGAGAACTGTACAGATGCAACATCACAAGGGCGTACCCTCCTCCTCTTACGAAAAAAGATGGCGATCCTGTGCTTGTAATAGGTAAAAGAGTCCTAAAAAAGGTTTTAAACAGTCTGTAATTCATAGTGCAGTACACTAAACACTTCCTGAATATGCTTCTTGCAGAATTCCCTCACCAGTGCCCGAAACCCCCACGCAATCCCACAAGAGTCGCACCAAACACATGCCAAGAATTTCCATGGATTTGGATAATGGTGATTGCAATTGTCAGTATCTACGGTGTAACGGTCACCATCATTGCACTGTTTAACTGGGTAAGATATCCTTGATCCACAAGGAAGAGAAAAAATAGAGCTCAAAACAGTCGTTTGTAGCAAATTATCTTAATGTTTACTGAAGCCTGGCCAACACTGCAATTTTATGAGTGAAAATGTACTTTCTTTACATGTAAATATACACAACGGCAACGCCAAAACAAGGAAACATTGAGGTTTGCTAGTCTGCCACGCACAAACACTGACGACCCATTTGAATCTGCTCCGATGCTACTCTGCTACATGTGCTGCAGACAGCGCTGCAGGTGTTGCAGGGGATGAACTATCATGTAACACTATTTCTAAATGACTATTTCATAAGTGTTTGTTTTAAAGAGACAAAAACAAGTAGATTTTTTTGTGTCAGAGAAAAAAAAAATACATTGATTTTGATGTATCTGCAACGGCAGATGCATGTGTGTTATATTCACCTAACACACAAAAGACTGGGAGGAGAACCAAATCCCTCGGTATTTAGGTCAGGAAAGATATCAATCATAAAATTCTGCCAAATCAAATACGCAGAGCTTTTCACTGTGGCAACGCTTTGTTAGGGCCGATACGGTCTGCTAACCTTGGCATATTTATTTAATGTTCAATATTTATCGTCTTTTATCAACTGTAAGAGAAACATTTTGTTGTGTTCTTGTTAGTTTTACACATTTCTATACAGCCAATAGACAAATCCTAACCCCTTTGTACATTTTAGAATCGACTACTTTTTGTCAGATTTTAGGAAAAAAGGCACAACTCTCCCCCCCTGCATAGTATGAAGAAGATTTTTTTTTTCTTTAAAATGTTCAAATTGAAGGTGTTCTCCATTAACATGGTATGACATTCGTTTCCCTTTCCGTCTCTGAGACAGTTGCTCATCTCTCTTCACGTGTCTTGCAGCTCAAGTTGAAGAACACAGAAAACCAGAGTGACTACATGAACACAAAACCCAGAGCGCCCAGGGACCGCAAGAAGAAAAAAGGTCTTCAGAATATACAAAGACACTTCTAATGACTTCATCGGATCATTTTGCACAGCTTTAGTTTAGACCTAAACATTCAGGCTGTCCTTGCTGTAGCTTATTTTTGTCAAACACATAATTGTGAGGTTTGTTTTTTGTGTTTTCATATTTCGTTGTCAACACTGTAGTAAATCTGTACCTACACAGCAAAAGTAGCATTTTTCTTTAAAGCAATGGCTGTATTAAAACTAAAAAAAAAACAACAACACACACACACTCTCTGGGTTTCTGGTTTTTCTCACTTCCTGTTTCAGTTACTAAGTCTGCCTGTCTCTTTCTCACACACACACACACACACACACACACACATACATGTAATTGGGAACCCCTATCTTTGTGGTCGAAACAGAAGGTGGTGTCTGATTGAGGGGACTTAACCACATTTGAAGCATAAATGAATGTGTTACAGTATGGACGCTCAATCTGTTAAAGAGAACTCACAAAACCGCAGCATCAAGAATCTAAATGTCATGCGAGCTGTTATTAAAGTGTTTGACTTCTCTTTCACTTCAGCGAGCTCTTACATCTCTCTCAAAGAGCTGATATCGCCGGAGCTGATGAAAGCCAGTTACTTGAAACAATAACAACGTACACAATTTCCTGCCTTCCTCGCTCTTAGTTTTTCCTTTTTTTTTTACCCGTCGTGCACTCTGCAGATGTAGCAGCTTCAAAGGGACGCCACCTTTACCTTGCTCACCTTGCACTTTCTGTGCAGTCACTGCAGGCGCTCGCACCGGGTTTCACTGGTTTTATTCAGTAGCAGGGTTTTACGCAACAGCTACCGCAAGCATGAGCGAGATAGACATAGTTTCTGTTAGGCCTTGAAACAATTTTTAGGGCTTTAAGCAATGATTAAAAACGAATGCTGACTATAAAAGATTTTTTTTACCTCCCACACACTCAATTCTCCTATGAAGAAGGGCACCCTTTAAAAAAAAACTGGAGGCGTAAGCACAGAAAAGTTCAGGTTTTCAGTAAAAACTTATCTGAAATCTGCAAAGTTACTTTCATGCAACCAGAGAATCACTTTTAACTCTTTTCAGCATCTTTTTAATTAAAAAAAAATACAAAATGATTTCCTACTATGTGCGCACAGATGAAACAATCTACTAATGGACACAAAAGAGTTTTACTCTTAATTTTGAACGACCGTTCAAAGTGTGTATTTGCTCTTCACGTGTCCCTCATCTTTCTTTAGCTAAATGCATCCAAAGCTAAACAGTCATTTTAAAAACTTTCACATATTTTCTCCTTCTTAAATACTAACACAAAACCTGTCTGTCATCATGAGGATTAGCCTCTTTCCTTCCATTTAACGCTGACATCTGGCTCTAAGATCGCAGGTGCTCCTTTTCATCAGGCTGTGTTTCGGGTCTGTGGTGTTGTGGAAAAATCCGTTCCCTGAGGAAATCTATCCTTGCTTCCTCGGATACAGACTGCAGGTCCTGCTCCGTTACCTGGAAAATAGGATTAGGATCATGTAAATCATCCACTCTGATACTTCTTCCAATACTTGCACTACAATCAAGAGAGAATAACCTACCATTAAAATCTACAGGGAGCAAATCTGAAGACATAATATTTGAGTTTCTCTTCTTAATTTTAGTAGTTTAAACATATGATACAAGTATAGGAAATAAGAGACCCGAATTCTAATAAACAGGTAATGCAGTGCAGCCATACATTAGCAATGTTCTGCTTTTTAAACCAAATCTAACGTATCCGTTCGATTTGGCTATGTAAACACAGGCATTAGTCATGAGCTGCAAAAAGGTTTAGAAGTGAAATAAGCAGAGATTGTGCAAAAATGTGAGTGCGACATTATTTTCTGAAGGTGCCAAAGTCTCACCAGGACAGGGTTATATCCCAGGATCTTCAGATGGCGAATCTTCACAGCCAGCGGACCACGGGGATTGGACGTGCCGTAACAAAAGCCAGATTGCGGTGCATACATTACTGCAATTCTGGGAAATAAAGAGAATGATTTGTAAGCTTTACCAAAAAAAAAAAAAAAAAAGGTCAAAATTTGAATAAAATTACTGTGAGACAAAAATCTGAAAACTGACAGATGGAGAAGATTGTGGGTTTATTGTCACTGATGAAAATCAATGTGTTCTTTCTGACTTTATCTGCTTTACTCAGCATGAATCTGATATTAGGATTTTACTTTTCATTGATGTTGACATCTATTTTTTTCCTTTAATTACTTTACAGATGGTTTATTTAGTCAGTAAAGTCCAGACAAACAATTTCAACGAAGCAGAATTTAAAAGAGCTGATTCATTTTTAATCAGTAGTTTGACTCAGTTCCAATAAATGAACGCGCCTGTGCTGTATGGAAATAAATAACAGATGGATAGTTCTGATTACGCTCCGATACTTTCAGTAACATCGATTATGTCAGCAGAAACACATAACACATAACCTTTACATTGTACCAAAAAACCTATATGCATTTCTTAGACTTCTACCTGTAAAACCCCTCATTATATACATTTTTATGTTTATTTCTATTTATTTATTTTTGGACAATATTGAGGTTGTCTGTCTTTTGACAAATTTATTTTTAGCTGTGCTGTTTTACTGGAAGAAGGTTTTGGCTGCAGCAACACAGTGGGAAAAAAAATTATAAAAAACTTATTCTGCACATTATTTTACTATAATATGAAGAATATAAAGTATAGCTCAGGACCCCCCCCCCTTTAGAGCTAAACAAAAATAGACATTAAAACATGCATCACCATAGAGAAAGTGGACATTAAAAAAAAAAAAAGTTCAGATGGGCATAAAAATATCAAAAACGCAAAAAATGTCAATGCAAAGTTAAACTTCAAGTTTCAAACTTCAAGTTTCAATAAAAATATTAATATTAATCTACATGTATCCTACATGATTGAACACATGCAATTTTAGGAAAGTCTGTAGTCCATGTAAAAAATGTTGAATACAGTAGTTGCACACATTTTTCCAACAACGTGTCCAATTTAAGAAGGTGAAGTTTTCCACAACACATATTTTTCAGTTTCAGCTGCTTATTGCAAAGAAGTGCCTGAAAGCCAAGAATGGAAATATGTTTAAAAGAGGCGGTAAAGTATCGCCTGTAATACATAACGGTGTTCAAAGAGAGCAAACAAAGCATGCACTCCTGCTTGATGTGTTTGCTTTCAAAGGCTGCTTTTGCATGCCTGAATGAGGTCTTTACATGCTTGTCTTAGTTTGAAAACGAGATTCATGGTGCTTTGCTGCAAGCTCAGTCAGATATTACCAATCACGCAATATAGTTACATCAGTGCCCGACACTGGAGGAACAGAAAAGTCCCAACATCCTCTTCAACTACCTTCATTTCAAAAAATGTTGCATAAGCACAATTAAATCAAGAACAATATGAGGAACTTAAACACGACTTTACGTGCGTTCGAGACATGCATGCAGTGATGCTGTCAGCAGCAAGCTCATGCTGATATCTTACCGCTCACTGCTCTCTGCTGGAGAACACCCTTCCGCTCCACCGATGCGTGCTTCACACACAGAGGTTTGGTTTGGCGTAGGTTTGGTTACAGCAGCGTCTGGGAGACAGCAGACACAGACGTTTGCTGTCATCACAGTTTCAAAAGCAGGTTAATCCGAGAATATAGAGAAGCTGGTTGTGACAAAAAAGTCAGGGCTTTATGTCTGATGGAAAAAAAAAACCCCAACATGTCAGATACTGAAATTTTCAAATTGAATAGTTTTCTTAGTTTTGTTTTTTACATTTAAGAGAATTTTGAATTTGTGGATTCCGCCACACAGTTCTGTCCCAGACTTTGTAAATATGTTTCTCACTGTTTTGCTTCAAACACTTCTTTAATGACAACCTGCAAGAATTTGGGCCCTGAGGAGACCACATACTGTTGTTTTTAAGAGCCAGTGTTTTTCTGTCTTGCTTAATTTCATCTGCTCAAAGGTTTGGATCCTTTTTCTGTCAAATTTTACTCCAGTTCTTGTGTTTCACTGGCTTCCACTTACACACAGAAGTTAATTTAAGGCCTTCTGTTCGTCTATAAATGTCTCATTTATGAAATGAAAGCCTACCGAGGCTCTTAGATCAGCAGGAAATGCTTAGCTGGTGGTGCCCTGACATCAAACTTGACATGATCTAATGGGTTTTTGCCATTATGCTGCCATCTACTGAAATCAGCTCCCATTTAAACTCAGGGTTTTATGACTTTCCTCGTTTCTTTCTGCCACTTACTCTGTAAAATCTGATTTAAAGTGACAGCAGTAATGACTCAAGAAGAAATGTCTCCTAACCTTGTTGCGAGCATTTTCAAGTTGCAATTCTTTTCTGTATGATCTCTCTCATTCTGAACATTTAGCTTTTTAAGAAACCATCATGGCTCAACATAACAATGAAAGATGGAAAAAACACAACAGAAATGAAAACAACAGAAGTTACAAATAAATAAGAAAAAAAGAACAGAGGCTGAACAAAACAAAATTTAAAAAAACAAAACAAAAAAAACACAATGAAAGTTGAATAAAAAACAGAACAGAAGTTAGACAAAACAATAAAAAAAAGTTGACTGAAGTAAAAAAGAAAACAGTAAAAGACTAATAAAACACAGCATAAGCAAAAAAACAACAGAAATCGAAAAGACATGGGTCAGGTCAAAATTTGTCTTAAAACAAAACTCTATTCTCTGACAAGATGTTAACATAGTTCACGGCTGAGCTCTGCGGTGGCCCTGAGAGGTCAAACATCCTTTAACCAAAACCTGAAAAACAATGTTGAATAAAACACAATGGAAATAGAAAAAAGCAAAAGTTCAATAACACATAACAGAAACTGAAACAAAAACAAGTTAAAAAAAACACACACACAAAACGGAAAGTGACAAGAGTACCCCCCCCCCTAAAAGATAACAACAAAAAACACAAAAACAATGGATTTTGAATAAAACATAGTAGGAAAAAAAAAATCAAACAAAAGTTGAATAAAAACTGATTGGAAATAAGAAAACACTACAGAAATAGAAAAACAAACAACAGAATTAAGAAAAAAAAAAATAACACAAGTCAAATACAAATAGGAAAAAACTACATAAATAAGAAAAAACGAGCAAATTAAAAAAATTGAGAATGTCAATTAGAAAAACACAACAAAAGTAGGAAAAAATATAACTGAAGTTGACAAAAACAATGAAAATAGAGGGAAGACCCCACAATTGAATTGTGGAAAGGAAATCCTAATGTAAGTAGAAAAATACAATGAAAGTTGAATAAAACAGAATAGAAATAAGAAAAACAGAACAGAATTTAATGGAAGTAGAAAAACAAAACAAAACAATAAAAGCTTAATGAAACAGCAAAAGTATAAAAGGCACAACAGAAATAGAAAAAACAACACTATGGCAATAAAAAAACAAGTTAAAAAAAATGCAAGGGAAATGGAAATAAAAACAACAAGTTGAACAGAACACAATAGTAACAGGATAAACACAATATAGATAGAATAAAAACAAACAGGTTGAAAAGAACACAATGGAAGTCTGAAGAATAGAATGAAAATTAAAAAAATAACATAAATAGGAAAAAATCAAGAGAACTTGAATAAAAAAAAAACAATGAAAATAGCAAAAATGAAAATAAGTTGAATAAAACTAACAGAGGTGGAATAAGACCCAACGCAAGTAGAAAGAACAGAACAAAAGTTAAAAAGACACAATGGAAATACTGAAAAACAATAATGGAAGTTGAATAAAACCCAGTTGAAATGGAAAAAGCTACAGAAACAAGGAGAAAAAAGGAAAAACAAAAAACAATGAAACTTGAAAAAAGCGGAACAGAAATGGGCTGAACAGGAGAATGTTCAGGACAGCAGCTTTAACAGCCTCCTTGGCTGAGCTGCAAGTTTCTTCTGGCTGGTGCATGAATACGTTTCTATGTAAAGTGCTCACAATGAGCTCTGTAGAATCATTCGCATTATTGGGTCATTTTGTCTGGAAAGACACATTGTTGCTTTAATTCAGAATCTAAATTTAAATGGGAACCAATTTATGTAGTGAACAGCAAACTGGGTACAAGCCATCACACTGGGCCTTCTTTTTTTATAATGGCCCTTTGAGCCCATCAGTTCCATTATATTCAAGAAAAAATTGATTTTTCTAAAGATGATATCTCCAAAAGTGACCATTTCATACAAAAACACTTTGAAAAGTTGTGTCAAACACAAGGCAGAGAGGCCGGAAATGCCCTCTGCTTTGAATTCACAAAAACGTTCATAATTTTAGTTATCACATTTATTTATTACAATTCAAGCCCGATTTTCTTTACAGCAGTACTTTTTTATTGTGTAAAACAGCTGACACGTATATTTGAAATTGCACTTCTTCTTTAGGGATTAAACATAGTTACACTTCATTCAAACAACAAAAGGGGGAGTTTCACTGGTCTGGACTACTTAGGATCAAAGTGGGCTGCAAGTGGCCCACAATGTAAAATGAGTTTCACATCCCGCTCTAGAAAGATTAAACTGTATAGAAGAAAAATCAGCAAGTCTGCACTTAGATTAAACTGCCACTTTAGACTTACCTGTAATTTTTTTGTTTGTTTGTTTTATTTTTTTGCACCATCAAATTTCCATTTGCCTTTTTCGCAACATTTTAATACAGTATGTCAAATACTTTGAGTTTCCTTTATGGATACAATAGGTTATAATAATAAAACTGCCTTCACTTGAAAAGCTTTTCTATAGCAAGACAGTTCAAGTATCCAGTATGCTGCTGAAATGTTCATTTTTTAAATTCTTTTCTCAAATTTTTCTTACCTATGAAGTACAAATTCTCCACCATCACCCCCTCCTGTAGCATCATATGCACCTGATCCTCCAGCAGACTCTGCAAGTCCAGCAAGAGCCTCGGGTTGACCGATGGAGTGCTGGGGGTGGGGTCTCCCAGGACTGATGCAGGAACAGTTAGGGGCTGAGGAAGAGGAGGATGGTCAACACGCAGGCACACGTCCACCGTCTGGAACATTCTCTCCTGGCTCTTTGGAAACTTCGAACCTGAGGAGAAAAGGAGCAGGTGAAGACCACAAACCCAGGTGTAACACAAGAGCAGTCAAAGTGAACTGTTTTACCTGCAAGCTTTTCCAGCACACTGCTCTGCAGAAGCTGCTCCAGTGGTGCGTAAGGGAAGTGGCCCAACAGACAGAGGCAATAAACGGCCTTCAACAACTCAAACGCAGATATTTTGGGCAAATAGGAGATCAGGACTCGGCTCAGACTATCGAGAAACCTGCAGCAGCAAGAAACCCAACAAAGACAAGCAACAGTAATTCAGTCACAGACGAGGAAAATGTGTTTATTTTACAGTTCAAAAACCAGCAAACTAACAGCTGTGCCTGTTTTCAACTGTGATCAGCCTATTAGCGTTCTACTTCTGCTGCTGTCTGTGTTCGCTGATCGGCCTCGGTGTTGACAGATGTGGGATAAACATGCACACCGTTCTCCCTGAACCTCTACTCCATGTCTACAGCCACAGGGACACATTTGGATGAGACAAATGGTTTACGTACTGTTGTCTTCTGTCCTGCAGATCGTAGCTCAGAGAGGAGTACACCTTGAGGACACAGAGCAGGTCTTTAAGTGTTAGGACGTCAGGGTTGGCGATCACTTTGTCAGCATAAGCATCCATCAGAGCAGCAGGGCAGAAGATGAGGTTCTCGAACACAGACAGAAAGAGAAGCAGCTAAACAGAAAGAAAGAAGTGGAGCAGTAATAAATGCCATGTGTGATGTTTTTAGTTCCTCCTCCTGAAACCTCGTATTTACTATTTGGACAAGAAGGCAGGTCACAAGATAGTTGTCACCTGTTTGTTGGTCCAAATGTCCAGTGAGGAAGCGACATAGTCCGAAATGCTGGTGAGCAGATGAACGTCTCTGTAGCGGAGCTCCCTACAGGACTGCAGCAATTTAAATATTCTGTTGAAGGGGATACCATGGATGTTCTCTAACACAGAAGTCGGGAGTAGGAAAAGGAAAATCATTAAATTAAATTTAAGGCGCTTTTTTAATTAATCCACAATAAATATAATTCTTGTAATTTCTACAATCATCACCTATTTACAAGCTATTTCTGGTTATTAGTCCACCACAGCAGATAACCTGCCTCCGTCTCACTCCATCCCTACCATCCTCCTGTGTCACAACAACCCTCTGCGTGTCCTCCTTCACTGCATACATGTATCTTGCCAATGGTCTCCTGTCTGGCAGCTCCATCGTCAGCATCCTTTGTTTCTCCTCTGCACATGCCCAGATCATCTCAGTCTTGTCTATCTAGCTTTGTCTCCAAACTGCTCAGCCTGAGCTGTCCCTCTGATGTGCTCATTTCTAACCCTATCCATTCTGATCACTCCAAATGAAGATATTATCATTTTCAGGTCGGCTGTCTGTCTTTTTGTCAGAGACACATCATAGCAGGTCTCACTGCTGTCTCATAAATCTTCCCTTTCAACCATTGCTGCTTTCTGACCACAAGTATTTAAACTCATCTATCTTCACTACCTCAGCTCCTTGCATTTTCACCTTTCCACCTGCCTCAGTCTCACTCAAACATGTATGAAAATTTGATTACAGGTAAATAAAGATTAAAAGCTAAGTTGAATAAAGACAACCTGTATTCACTTATCTGCCTGCTTTCCTAGGCGGTCAAATCTATTCTTTATCCTTCGTTCAGTTTTTCTTGTCCACCTTCTGTAAGCCAGTCGCCCTGTTTCCTGTGCTTTAATTGTTTGTTCTCTTCTGTCACTTCACCTTTCAGGCTCTCACTAATGTAACCTACACCCCATCCAAGCCCCCATCTGCTTCATTCCCACCACCAACAACATCTAGACGCTGGGGCAGGGTGACACTGTCTGGACATTATTTTCTTGTGGAGAAGGATTTACCCGTGATTTTTTTACTGCAGACATCCAGCAGTGGCTTAGAGAAGAAGCCCATTGTGGCCATAGTGGAAATCATGTATTGGGCGTTGGGCAGGCTGAAGTGGTCTGTCATAGATAAGGCCTTTTTCTGGAGGAAGCACAGACACGGAAAAGATTCAGCAACAGCAGTTTTTAAACATTAACTACTTTTGAACGATTGTCTGTTAATTCAGCCGTGCATTACACAGGTAAGCAAATATCCTGCAAAAAGCACAGCTGAGGGCAGCTGCACACAAGGGCTCAGTCATAAATGTGGAGAATATTTAAAAGCAGCGAGACAGAATGCCAAATGAGATCAAAACTAACCTCTAGTTTCCATTTGAGGTCCTTTGGGGCATCTTTTCCCAGCAGACGCATCATGGTCTGGAGAGCCATTACATTCTTTATGCCTGGAAGACGGGCCTCCACCACCAGCCTAAGACGCACAAAAAAATAAAAATCAATGTAACATGTGACTTTATGATACAAGGCATCTTTGAGGCTAGACTTTTTTTTCCTTCCCATGATCTCATACCTCATGCCCTCCTTGAGCGCACGAACATTGGCTCCATCCTCCATTTGCTCCAGGCTGGAGGCCAAGATGGACAGACTCTTCTCATCAAAGTCATTCAGTTTCTCCTGTTAGTGAACAAGAAGACACATTTGAGTGCACAGAAAAAACAAAAACATCACCAAGATGAAGAATAATTTGTGCACGTGGTCGTGGACCGTCTACCTGGCAGGTTCGGAGAAAAGTCTGGACCACTCGGCTACGTTGGGGAACGCCCAGGTTGACCATACTCAGGAGAGAGTAAGTCACGTCCTCGTCGCTAATGTGCACCAGAGTCTTCATGGCCCTCTGCAGCAGCTGGTCAAAAGCGGGATGCTCAAACATCAGCTGCAGCTCGTAGCGGCGCTGCTCATCTGTCATCTTCTTAGTGGTGGCCCACATGTGGGTCAGGCAGTGGCTGACCTGTCGGGCTGTGGGCGAGTACTTGCCGGTGAGGTCTAACACATCTGACGGGGAGCCGCAGCTCTCCAGGAGCTCCAAGAAAGGAGACTTCCTCTGTCTCTCAGCTGATGCTGTGTCAGCAGGTTGAGAGGGAAGACGCTCCCCATCTTCCAGATCATCTCCATGATTGGCTCCCTGTGAATAGAACCTCACTGAACTGACAGGACTCCTAGAAAGCCACGTCTGACTCTGTCTTGGGCTCCAAAGGTGGAAGAACTGTTTATCTGGAGAACACGAGTTCTTGATTGGCGCAGACAACAGGAAGTTGCGCTGTTGCCAAAGAGATCCGCGGCTGCAAAAGCGCAGGCCCCGTCTCATGACCTCCTCTGTCACCCATACAGACATGGTTCTTTAATAACACAGAGCGCTAGCAACTATTGAAAAAAATAAACAGAGACAGAGCCAAATAAATTAGAAATAATACCACTGCTCTTACAAATTAAATGGCTTGACACTTTACATTCATAGCCACAAATGCGCTTAAATTATGCGTGGCTACCAATGTTGCTTAATTACAAAGTCAACAAGGTCAATAAACTGCCAAGTTATGAAAACATTGACTAGCTGCTTTTAGCTAAGTGATGCTAACCTTAGACGCATACAAACACGTATAACGAAGCGACGCATTGTAGTTTCCAGACCGTGAAAAATCGGAGAGAAACGTAGTTCAGCAAAGAGATAAACAGCTACATGACACCACAGAGTTCATCAGTGCTAGGCCAGTCCATTGAAGTTTTCTCACACATGCTAGTAGGCGCCGTGTGCACCGCCATAATTCGTCCCCCCATGTACTGTCAAGATAGTAGAAACCCCCCCCGCAAATATACAAATTATTAATATATTTCTATTTTAAACGAGCGGAGTAGAAATATGTTTAACGGAAAATATAACACTTTTATATGTGTATTTATTTATTGTCATTGCATTTTGTGTGGCGGTATTCATATTTGTTTGACAAGCAAAAGGTCGCTGGTCCGATTCCATCTGAAGACACAAATCCCTTAGGACTTGCATCGGGAAGGTAATCCAAAGTAAAACTCAACCCGCTGTGGTGATCTCTAAGGACAAAGGAGTAACAAAAAGTGGCTTTGGTATTCTGGGGTTTGCCATACACGGACTCAAATAAGTGCAACGCCGTCCATCCGTCTCCTAGCAACAAACCTTTTTCACCTAGACGCACAGCATGGCAAAATTTGTACTCGCCGGTAGAGCTTTAATTTCATTTTAATCTAATATTTGCCAGTATTTCCGGTACATACACGTGCATTAATTTTTGCAATTTTACCTCGAACAGGAAAAACAGACTGCCCTTATTATGCCAAAGCAGAGCTTTTAGCAGACACCCTCCAGCAGTGTTTGCCAGACTTCAAGATCCATAAGATCTCCATCCTCCCAGATGAATGGAAGGTATCATATTTTCAGGCGATCGTTTTAGGCATATAAATTTAAGGACGTATTGTCACCTCAGCATGACCTCTCTCTGGGCAGGAATGGCTGGGGGCCACGTGTGAAAAAAATAACTGGAAACATGAGGGCTCCCCTTTGGTTTGGAGGGAACTAGTGGAGCAAGGGGGCAAAGGGATGCTCTTGGGGGGCTTCAATGACTTCCTAGAGCACTGCCAGGTAAGCAAAAAATAAATTTTCTCAGCTACAATAACTTTTAAACTTTTAAAACTGGAAATGTCATCAATTGAACAATGGTTGTGTAGGATTACTACGGCATCACGTCAGACATGACCACAAATGTGATGCTGAGTGTTGCAGCAGAGAATCTGGAGGCCAAAATGAATCTCATCAAAGAAGAGCAGCATCGCGCCAGTCTTATTCAACCACTTCATGTTTGGATAACTGGGTGGGTCTGTTGTAAAAGCTAAAGAGAAAACTCTATTTCCTCTTTTAGGAAACTTTTAAGGACTTTAGCGTGTCTTTATAGTGCTCTCAACCCAACATGCCAAGTCCTGATCCCCAGTCTGCTCTCCCCCGAGGTGTTTCCCAACGTTTCTGCAATCAGCCTCCACCTGCTGGACCTGGAGGGAAACGAGGAGCAGTTACAGAGCCTGATGTTGGAGATCGAGGAGCTGGCAATCAGCATGCTCCACCAGGTGCACTAAGACTCACTTATTTGTTTGATCACATCGAGAGGAAAGCAAAACCATGTCATTAAATTTATTTACAGGTGACTACTGGCACAGATCTGGAGCGAGCCTTCAGGAAGGCGGATGTCATCCTCCTTCTAGATGACGGTGGGCACGATGGAGAAAATGAGGGTGAGGAAGTAAAGAAGAAGAAGGTAAAGGTGATCTCAGAGCGCTACAAAGAATACGGGCAACTGATCGATGCAACAGCCAAGGAGACGGTGAAGGTGATCGTGTCCGGCGACTCGTTTCTCAACCTGAGGTGCTCGCTTCTTGTGGACAGTGCACGCTCCATCGACAGCCACCAGTTTATCGCTGCTGCAGCTCAACTGGAAAACGAAGCCAAGGCTGTACTTGGGATTAAGATGAGAATGAGGCCGTCAGGTATTTCGTGTGAATTGGTTGACTCATGTTCACGTTGCATTTTAGCACCAGCCCCTGAAATAAAAGACGAATCAATTCTTATGTCTTCTCCTTCTGCAGATATTACAGATGTAATAGTGTGGGGAAACATCAGCGGTACTTTCTACATTGACCTGCAGAGGGCAAAAGTTTTCAACCATGATGGGCCAATCACAGGACCAGCTTTCTTTTCCCAGCTACTTCTAAGCATTTTTCCTGACAGGTCTGTTACCACGGAAACATAAAGACCTTAATTTGTATTTTTTCAGTGCACTTTTAATTCTCCAGACTCCTTGTTCAAACGTGAAGGTGGTTATTTCCTGGTGCCCTAGATTTACCGCATTGGTAAGCTCAACCCAGCTGGGGCTTTGGCAGGGTAAACAAATATAATATGATAAGGTCTGACACTGGCCAGCCACTGGCATGATTTCAGTCTGTGCAAATATTGATTGCACAATACATCTGTCCAGAAAGCTGCCTGCTCTGATGGGAAAAAACCCCATCCTGTGTTGGCACACAAGATAATCTTCTTCTCCTTTTCAGGAAATGGTTGGAAACAGACTTTCAGCACTTGGTACGCAGGCGGCGTCTAGCTGTGACTTCAAAGACAGGCCAAGCAGCCGCCACATCAGCTGCCAATGGGATCCTCACTGTCTTGAAAGCTTGGAATGGTGCTAGTGATCCAGATGTTCTGTCTTTGGGTGTAGCTTGCCCAGGTTGAGAATTGGTTTTCAGTGTGACAGAATGATTTTTAAATGCGATTCAGATTCTCTGATTCAGTGTGATCTAGCTTGTTTCAAAAAGTGATTGTTTTGGGGTTATTTTAGGGCATTACAGTCTCCCTGATGGCATTGTCTTCTCAGTTCCATTAACCTTCACAGATGGCAAATGGTCAGTAGTGTCTGAGTTGACTGTTGAAAATGAGCTCAAGTACAGGCTTGAGCTCTCAGCAAGTGAACTGCAGCAGGTAAAGTTAAACCAATAATATTAGATGTAGCGCATTCTCGTTGCTTGAAATGTTGCTAACATTTTGACATAATTTAGGTAATTTAAGAAAAATGTATTAATACTATCTTTTCTTTCTCAGGAAAAGCAGTTTGGATCAGACAGCGGCACAACTGAATAAAGCTGTTGTTTAAAGCAAGCATGCTCATTTCCACGTCTATATTTTATATTTTTATCTCGGGACTTTTCATCATTCAAATGTTTTTTTTAAATCCATGTTTACATTATCTTGGCCCTTGGTTTTTCTCTCTGAAACAAGCTGTTTTAGCTCATTTTCTTCAAATATTCTGGCAAATCAGTTAGCTAGTAAGCCCCGCCCACTTTGACCACCAAATAGGGAAATCTGTGTAAAGCTTACATCATCGTGGCACAACAGTAAGTGAATTCAGAGCAGTCTGAAACCAGACCTTTGGCTTCAAGCAACTCCTTTTACATATGCTTTGACTATGTTGTTTATGAATATGATTCTCCTGTAATCATAAAGCAAGCTCTTGCATATATACAGTACTGTGCAAAAGTCTTGAGCCAACCCAAATTTCTTTATAAAATATATATCTGTGTATTATTTATTTCCCCAAAGGGGCCAGAGTTTCTTCAGCACTAGTATTTTTGCACCAACAATGTGATTCCCAAAGGAATATTAGCCAAAAACATGGCATAACTTGAGGAAAATGTAAAATTTCTTTCAAATATTTGAGGAAACTCGATAAGTGAATGACAAAAGGAAGAAGTGACAGGCATAACAAATATCTACAGGCGATGAACAGTACCATAACCTTAAGAAATAGGAAAAATCAAGCAATGACCTGCAGAAATACATCTGGCTCTTCAGTCCAAAACATCTACTGTTCACTGAAGCCTCATCAGAAATGTCTCAGTGGAAGGCCGGCCTCATTAAGCCATTCTTAGTAATGAGAAACAGGTGGAAAGGATGAGGTATGCCACATTACACAAGAACTGGACTGAAAATCAGTGGCAACAGGTCTGATAGAGTGATGAATCCAAATGTGGAATTATGGTAAAAATGATCAATAATATATACTTAAGGTCACAACAATGAGTGTTTACACTTATCTGTAAAACACAGCGGAGGTTCTGTCATGGTTTGGGCTGCATTTCGGCCAGTGGTGTTTGAAAGCTTGTTAGAAATTTTGGAATTATGAACGCAGAAAACTATCATGAGATTTTGATCCACCATGCAATACCATCTGGAAAGTATCCGATTAGCGAAAACAGCTTCATTTTTCAGCGTGACAATGATCCCAAACTTGGATCGGCCTCCCCAGAGCCATGACGTCAACATTGCTGAAGCAGGATGGGATCATCTTGGTGACAAATGGAAGTGCTTTGAATGTCCTCCATTGGAGAACTATTCCTGAAGACTAAAGAAATAACAAGAAAGCTGTCTAAGAGAGTTCAGCATGTGTAGAAGAATAAAGGTGGTCATACCAAATATTGACGTTCAAGCTTGTTATATACTGCATTTCCATTTATGTTTGCACAATACTGTAACAGACACTCTTAACAACAGAATTTGAAGACCAGTTAATGATTAAAGGTAGTAATCCAGATACGTGTCATTGCATTAAGTTTGTTTCAGTTTGTTCTTTTATTTTCACATGTGCAGTTGCAGTTTTATATCACAGTCTGATGACATTAAACCTGTTCCGCTTTGTGAAACACGTCCAGAGGTTATATTTTTAGACATAAAAGATCAAACTGAGTACTTTATGGAAAAAGGAGAAATTAGAAAATATATTCCTTTTTTTAAATTTTTACAGTTCAGTAAGTTACTTCTTTTTTTTTTTAAACGTTTAAGCAGGATTTTAAACATAAATCACAGTACTACCGTACACAAACTAGTCAGTTAATATCGTTCTCTAAAGCCGACGTCACCGCTCACCGTCCATCTCCACGTACAGATGGTTGGCCTTTTAAAAGTAAGGACACATCAAAACGTTTACTCTCCTCACTGATAATGAAATATTAAACAAGCTGAATTTAATGCACTCTTTAAACCTGAAACATTCAAACTGATTTTTTTTTTCTTCTTCACAAATTGTGCAGTACTTTGTCAGCCGACAAGGAGAACTTGAACAGGGTGCCGTTTTTACATGCAGAATGTACACTTTTTGCATTTCTACACTATGCACAAGGAGGCGCTGACTGAAAAAGAGGAGAAGGTTAGTACAAATGCAGTGCACTACGACAAGTTGGGGGAAACAGACACATTTTGCGCAATGGTATGTTCACTTTGTACAACCCAACCCTGAGACTTGGATGCTGAGTGGTTCACAAGAGCAAAATCGGCTTTTCCATACAGTCGAACAAGGTGCTTAATTTCTTGTTGATGATCTTCTTTTTTTTTTTTTTTTTATCTTGTTTTTGAATACAGATCCCAAACATTGGCCCAGGTACATGACGCAGAATGACAGTATTATTCCCTACAAGAACAGAAAAAATTCTGCTCTAGTAAAACTCAAAAATCAACCTCAAATATTGATGTTAAATACATGCGTGATGCATGGCATGCATGAACTTGTCATGGCACAAAGGAGGTTATTTGGTAAATATACAGATCCCAGTAATCACTGTACAAACAGTACACGGGCATATCTAACAGGTCTGTAGATAAATAACAAATTCAATTACACGTGGATGTACGAAATTAAATCCTACTTACAAATGTAAATAAAAATGAGGCATTGATCACACAGAGGAAACTTGGGAACACTTCTCTTATCGTGTCACGTTAAAGTCACTCGCATGTGGGTAAAGATCTACTAGCTGTCAACATCCAATGAAGTCAGAGAATCCGTTTTCAGGCAACGAGTGAAAAAACCAGCAACGACTGAATGGGAGTTTCTAACTTTGAACCCTAAAGGTGTGGACGCGGATTGGGGTCGTTTTACTTGTCTAACTGTGGGAATGTGCAACTACGATTCAAACCTGGTGTTGTCGTTAAAACATTTACATACAATCTTTATATGGGTAACCAAAGGGATAAAATAGACTCTTAAATTCCCCCTCTGCTTTAGTTATAAAGTTTCATCGACTGACCATTAAATTAAATAATTTATAGCATATATTAACAGTTAATCCAACATTCCAACTCTTCCTAACGTGGCGTTCTATATAGATAGACATCTGCCTCTGAATGAAAAAACAAGGTGGATGCTTTTAGCCGTGGTACAAAATAAAGGCATCACTGTTGTACTAAAGAGACTGAAATCAAACGGGTTCTTAAAAGAAAAAAAACGTTTCTAAACTTTTAATTAAAGCCACAAACCTGCTTTTCATTGAATACACTCCTGTCAGGGGAGCACTCAGCATAACACAAAACCTCTTTGCTATAAATGCAATATGAAATGGTGCATTTAATTGTAAAGTAAAGCTGTGTAATTATGAACGCTGCCCGATAGAAGCTAATGATGGTCCTGGTGTAGACACGACTCCCGAGACTTTAACAGACTCTTCTGACATGAGGCTATAAAAGCAGAACGCACCGAGTATCTCAACCATCTGCCACACAATCACTGACCAACACCCTTTAACTCCAAACTCATTGATAAATGGGTTTTGTATAGCTGTATGCATGAATATAATGTTGTTTTAACATACAAATAAAAGCAAAACATTGGGGGAGGGGCGCAGCAGGGCAGCTATGACTGTGGTTGATGCTGAGGGGATGGAGGTGTGTCTGGAGTTTCTCCCGCCACCTGTCCTTCAGGGCTGATGTCCAACTCCTCATCCAGTTCACTTTGGTCCAAAAGCTCAAAGTCCTCTTCCTCGGTCGGAACTAGTGTGTCGTCGGGGAACTCCTCGCCGGTGCCACTTTCCGTTGTGATCGCCTCATCTGGTTCCTCGTCAGGACCGAGCTCCTCTGCCGTGGTAACTGTAGTGTTAGCAGTGGTGTCGGCAGGTGTCTCCAGAGCGCCCGGTGGGGTTTCGCTGGGAAGAAACTCAGCCAGAGAGGGCTCCTCGCTGGCCTCGCTGGAACGCAGCAGGGCTGACAGAGTGTTCTGCACGACAGTGGAGATGGCAGTGCTCACTATCTCCTCGCTCAGGGCCTCCAAGGAACGTTGTGCACCCTGGGTGACTGCAGGCTCTGTCTTCTCTCCTCCCCCATCTACGCCCGCCACAGGCACCGCGCCCTCTTCGCCCCCAGGTGGTCGACCGTGTCCGTTGAAATGTGTGTTCACAAAATGGAGGGGGGATGCTAGGTGCTGGATAAGGAGGCTGGCGGGGCTCAACGGTTCCCCTTCGGACTGAGTGTCAGCCTGGGCTCCCTCTCCCTGGCCTGAACCTCGCAGAGGAAAGTGAAGCAGACTTTGCTCAATGGAGGGGAACTCCTCCACTGAGGGGAACTCAGGGAGATCCCGCAGGTACGACTCCTCTGGGTCACTTTGTAAGCTCTGCTGGTCCAAATCTGCAGTAGGCAAGAGACAGTATAAAACCATAAATAAATGCAAGTCGTGCACATTTAATTTTCACAGTGATATCTTAACGATGAGAGGATGAGGTGACATTGCCCTTATGATAACAATCTGATGCACAGAAGCACGACAATCCAAAAGGAACACTCGCCCACATACTCTCGTACTTTCTTTGAAAAGAGCAAAGGAAAGACACTTGGTCTGGCCAAGAGAGAGTTTTGTTGTTTTATTTCGCTAATTCTGTTGGTCTGCATCTCTAAAAATTTGATACTGGTGAATGACATTGCACAGAGCAGCACACACACCTCTGCACACACTCACTATCCAAATTTATTTCTTATGTAGACCTCTTCAACTGCTTGTTGACCTAATTATCTAATCAGCCTGTCCAACAGTATCAACTCAATGAATTTAAGCGTACAGACATGACCAAGACAACCTCCTAGAGTTCAAACTGAGCAGAATGGGGAAAGAAGGTGATTTAAGTGACTTTGAACATGGCTGTTGGTGCCAGACGGGCTGGTCTATTTCAGAAACGGTTGATTTACTGGGATTTTCCCAAACAATCAGAGAGTGGGCTGAAAATGAAAAAAAAAAAAAAAAAAAAAAAAAAAATCCAGTGAGCGGCAGTTCTGAGTGAAAAAAGAAACTTGAGGACAGATTCCTTTAAACTGATAAGGAGGCAACAGTAACTCAAATGACCTCTCGTTACAACTAAGATATGCAGAAGTGCATCTCTGAAAGCAAACATGTTTAGCCTTGAAGCAGATGGGATACAGCAGCAGAAGACCTCGTCAGGTGCCTCGGCAGGTTGACTGGAATATAGAAGATCAGAAAAATGTTCCCTAGTCAAATGAGATTTGATTTCTAGTGCCACAAATCGAATGGTGGGGTCATAGTTCATGTGAAAGCATAGATCCCACATGCCTTTTATCTGTGGTTCAGGTCAAAGATGGTGGTGTAACGATAATATTTTATTAGCACGCTTTGTGCCCCTTAGTATCAACTGATCATCATTTAAACACCACATCCACATGTGAGTACTGTTGCTGACAATGTCCATCGCTGTGTGACGACACTGTACCCGTCTTCTGATGGCCATTTCCAGCACAATAACTCGCCATGCCACAAAGTTGAAATCATATCAGACTCAGTTCTTGAACATGACAGTTCACTGAACTCAAACGGCCTCCACAGTCACCGGATATCAAACCAACAGAGCACCTTTGGGATGCAGCGGAACGGGAGATTCAGATCATGGATGTAGCAGCTGTGTCGTGCTGTCAACTTGGATCAAAAAATAATAATTTTTTTTTTAAACAAGCTTTAATCAAAGTTCAACATTGACACATGACAACTACCTTCAGAGACGTCGGTGAGTTGAGGAGTGGTGGCTCTGGACACCGAGAAGCCTCCACTCTCCAAGATGGATGCCTCTTCATCTGACAGCTCAGAGTCTGTGATGGCCATAGCCAGAGCCGTAGTTTTCACATCCACCTGACCAAAGAAAACAAAATAAATAAAATAATGACGCATTATTTTCCACATTTCAAAACCTGAAAAAGATAACTATAACCAGACTCCTCTGGTTACTCCACATGCAACAAGTTTGAATTTATTACAAGGACTATAACCTTCATAGCTCGTAGAAGTAATCCAGATTATACTAGTTTGTTTATTTTATTACGTTTGCACCATGCCCTGCAAGTGTTCATTCACAGCATAGCGACTGAATACCTGACATGACACTGTCAGTTACTGAACTGAACCGTGTACTTTCTGCTGTTGCGCAAATGGAATGCAGTTGTACTGGAAAGATAATCCTTCAGGTCATTTGGCACAGCGCAGAGCTCCATTCCCATCAACACGTCACCACATTCATAAAGGTCGGTGCTGACTTCAGCACACTGTGCTGCTGCTGCAGCTTCCTCTGCTAGTCTTACACTTTAAAGTGGCA